TACATTTGAACACATCCCTGTTACCAGCTCTCATAGTATGCCTCTCGTCCAATGAAATGACTTGCTCGCTCTGACGCGTTGAACCCAATGTGAGCAAATTACTCTGAATGCTGCAACACAGCACCTGAGATTACTTCCAAAAAGTTGTTCATGTTCTCAATTTTTTACGTTTAACGTTATATTCGTTCGGTACACTTCGGCACACATGTGTACCGAACCGAAGGGCCCTTACCGAATAATTTCGGTACGGGTACGTGTACCATTACACCCCTACCACTCACGAATGCGCAGTTCGTACGTGCTTCTTGGCCGTAGGCTGAAGTCTTTGCGGTGTGTTCCAGTGCGACACATGGCCAAGACGCAGGAGACGCAGGAGACGCAACAGTCGGGGTCCGTCTGTGTCAGTTATTTGGTGTCAGCTTGGTGTGTCCGGGCCTTTACATATATAATACATATTACATAGTTGACATCATGAAACCTTACAAAACGACAGGGGCTAGTCTGTATAGTGTAACCATGGTGTGTCCAAAACACACTGCATACAACACACACACTCCAGTCGCAGATCCAATCTCCCAACCTCTGCTGTCTCTTGCGTGTCAAACATGGATGAGTACAGATCTAAGTTGAGAAATATGACCTACAGTGGTGTTATTAAAATTATGAATGTAAAGGGGAAGAAAGACGTGCCCGGCCAGCTATAGTTCTGGAGATTTGCAGAATATTCGAATGAGGAATTAGTTTTAGTGTCCAAATATGAATCAAAGTTAATATAGAACTGGAAGCACATTTAGATCTTCCATTTCAGAAAGCGTAGTGATAGCAGTGTAAATACTCTGGACATACAGCAGCACCACACGCTATATCTGTGCTAGGGCAGCAAACGGTGTCTTTCATCTTTACTCTCCTTAAAGAGGAACTATTTTACACATTTTTACTATCTGTCTAGGTATTCTGAGATTCCACTGAAAACATGAAGCCTTTGTCTCGAGGGAGCTGAAGTTTGATACAAGTCTAAAAATAAATCTGTGAGGGAAGTTGAGCTTCCCAGAACTCTTGGGCATTTGGTTGGATTGGTGGTTATGATGGAAGTCATTAACATATCATCATGACTTTCATCAGTCCCACTCTCTTACATCCACAGACGCCGAGAAGTAGAAATCAGTGCAGCAGACTGTTGCTATGGAAGCAAAGCTCTCACCAATTCCACAGGGATAGAGGTGTGAGATGGAGACCTAATGACATGTCTAAATGCAAAACTCCTCAGCTGTGCAGCTTCACTATCTCCCTTCACTGTGCCACAGAAACATATAAAAACCTACACAAATCTCCTGTTAGCATGTATTGTCTGAAACATCATGATTTACCTTCAGTGGAGCTAGTGGGCCCAGACCAAAGCAGAAAAAGAAGCCCTGAAAGAAGAAAGCGTTGATAGTGTTTTGTTATTTTCTGTTCATCTCACATACCGTTGGTAAAAGAAGTAGTAAGAGAGGTTCGTGAAGGTGCAGAAAGAGGAGGGAGTGGTGATGCTGTGTGTGAGGAGGAACAGTCCCACAGCAGGGCAGCAGACCTGCAACAGGCTTCTCTAATGGAGGACTAGAACAAAATACACACATGTCCAATTCCATGAAGTCATGGAGAATCTTTCCTTAGTCAGGCTGGTTGTGGTGTGTCGCTGTCTGACAGCACTATCCACTCTTATCTTTGTTAACTGTTACACAGAGCACAGGCTTTGAGTTTTCTCTGTCTTATACTCATGCAGAAGGTGCATGCTGATGAAGAATGTGTGCAGTGAATACCTCAGTGATGGCAGTTTCCATAACATTGTGATGATCACATTATTGATTTTGCTGAATATTGTGATTGCTAATATTATCCAGGTGTATTAGTTTTGATTTGTTTTATTTTTTGTTGCAAGTTTGCACATCAACACACACATTCAGTACATAACAGAACTGTTTATTAGCTATATAGAGACATTATTATTTGCCAGGTTTCTTTACTAGTTTGTGTATGCACATCTCAGAAGTGCACTGTATTGAGTCTTCAGCCAGTCTCTTGTCAGAGGCTCACTCTGTACAAAAAGGATCCATTCATTACATTTCCAGAATAACAAGGATACAAGCAAAATATCATCTGAAATGGACTTGTTCCTTAAGGGAAATCTCAATATGCATCAGACAAACCTGGAAAAAGAGTCTAAACGTGTTTCCCATCAAACGCCAACACATGTCACTCACAAAGACTACAAGGATATGTGGTGACCAGCGTGTCTCTCTTCTGTCTGAGGACAGGATGGACAGCCTGATATCCTCTACACCTTCTGGACTGATGTCACCAGCACCCTCAGTGAGGAGTTCCACAGAGCGACTGAAGGTAGGACTTCTGTTTCTCCTTCCCCGCTGTCCCCCCTTCAAGCTCCTACTTCAGAGGAAAGATGGATTGACCTAAGAGTTTAAATCTTGAATGTTTTCTCTCCGACAGATGGTAGATAGCGGCTCCAAACAAACAGCTAGTGGGAGGTCTCATTTAGTGAGCGATTATCACTGTAACAGGAGCTCAGCTGACAACAGAGAAATCAATGGGTCTGGGGGTAATGAAAGGCCTGTTGTCCACGAAGCTATCAGCACACAGCAGTCTCATTGAACCAGTGACGGCCTGTTGTACCACCTTAGTTTGTGTTAAAGGGAAAAACACATCTTTTGTTTGGATATGAATCCAGTCTTGATCATAGATGTCGAAGCTATAATTCCTGCGTGCTATATTGACTAAATTTCAGTACAATGGAACTTTTAGGTTTAGGACGTTCCTTTTGCATCTACCAGTCACACACTAGAGATCCAAACTAGAACAGATGTAGTTCTTAAGGTGTCCAATTCCATCACGTCAATGTAACGAATGAATGCAGGAACTGCAACACACTCCGTAGCAGCAAACACCCCTTACTCAGTCATTATAACACACACACTGTTCAATGTATTGCTTCAACCGACTACATTTACCATCATTGTGTGTGTGTGTGTGTGTGTGTGTGTGTGTGTGTGTGTGTGTGTGTGTGTGTGTGTGTGTGTGTGTGTGTGTGTGTGTGGGATTGAGTATTGACTGTGTCCTGATGAGGATAACATTAGATATTTCTCCGCATAAGTCCAAGCATCTTCTGTTATTCAACCAACACAGAAATATATATAAGATAAATATGAAAGAAGGACATGCTTGTTTATATTTGAGTAAATACAGTAGCATGATTTCTGATCGTGGTCCCTCCTACACCCTTCTAAAACCACACGTTGTAATTATACTCTTTTTTCTGTGTATTTAACAAACACACAAGATGCTCCGCTTTAGCTTTCAAGGTTTATATGAATGTATATTAGGTATATTAATGCTAGCTATCTGACTGCTTCCACTCTTTATGCTAAGCTAGGCTAACCACATATTGACTCCAGGTAACAGAGACATTTTATTTATATTTTATTTAGTCATAACTTGACTTAACTTTTAATTAAATGTTGATGTTTTAATTTAGCATGTTCATGTAATTGACCTATGTTTGTTTTTTTAATGGAATTAAATACAGATTTTTCTTTTAGACTTTGCTCACTCTTTGCTTTCCTCAGAATTATGATATGTGATTAGCAGCTTCCTGAGTGCCTGTGTGTATTTGTATCTACTCTTTAGCCTCGTCCTTCCTGAAGCAGGCGTTTGAAGGAGAGTATCCGAAGCTGCTGCGCCTGTACAACGAACTGTGGCGGCGCCTGCAGCAGTACAGCGCCAGCCTGCAGGGGGCGCTAAACAGTGGCGCAGGAATAGAAGCTTCTTTGGACATCAGCGCCACAGAGTCAGACACCCAGGACCTCTTCACACATGGAAAACAGGACTACAAGTGAGCACACACAGACAACGTTCACCTGTTCACAGAGAACACACACACACGCATTTTAAGTGTTCCATTAATCAGCACAGGTGTTTGGGGCCACTTAGAGGATATTTTACGTCAACATGAGACAGAAAACACACAGTGCATATCATGAGACCACGTCAGATTTGAAATGATGGTTTTCTCAAACATCTTAATCCCTTAATCACACATTGCTTTTGTGTGTGTGTGTGTGTGTGTGTGTGTGTGTGTGTGTGTGTGTGTGTGTGTGTGTGTGTGTGTGTGTGTGTGTGTGTGTGTGTGTGTGTGTGTGTGTGTGTGTGCGCAGCCCAGAGAAGGCTCTGAAAGACTCTCTTCAGCCGTACGAGTCCGCCTACCTCTCCAAGTCCCTCTCTCGCCTGTTTGATCCCATCAACCTCGTGTTCCCCATGGGGGGCCGCAACCCCCCCTCCAACGACGAGCTGGACAGCATCATCAAGACCATCAGCAGGCAAGCAGCATATATGCCCGATGTGTGCCTCACAGAGAGGCACCATAGTGACACCATACCTCCATTAGATGTGATGCTGCACAACCAGGACAGCAAGAAGCACAGTTTCTGCACACACACATGTCAGAATTATACACATAAATATTCATTAATAATATATGATGAATTAATAAAATAGATAATCAGTATAAAAATTATAAAAGAGCAATTGAACGAAAGTTAAAATGCTAGCCGTATAAAGAAGCTTGAGCCTGAACCATCCCAGTGATTGGTGTAGCAGCACAGTCTACATACCGTCATACAGCTGTCACCATATCACAGTTACACCACAGAAATATCATAACCAACTTTTTTTTTCAAAAACAATATTATGGCAATATCTATAGAAAATTTGAGGAAAGAAAATAGTCAAATGAATCTTGAACCGGGTTTATTGTGCATTTTGTCTGATTTAAGAGGTGCCAGATTATACAATACACAATATATATCAATTGTCATTTTTATGCTCAGTAAATGCTGAACGTTGAAATAAGCAACTATTTGATATCAAATTTGTTCACCAATTTGAACTAACCAATAAAATAAAATATGAACCTCTGCATTGATGGCAGTAAAAAAGGCTTGAATGTCTTCAGGGTCTGACCAACCAATACATCATCAGTCTCTCAGCAGGGCTCACACACATGTGGTATTATTTAGTTACATTATTTGAATGTTTTGGAAATGTGTCTTATTTATGTGTTTGTTTGTTTGCAGTGAGCTGAATGTGGCATCAGTAGATCCAAACCTGGCTCTGGCTGTGTCCAAGAACGTTGCCAAGACAGTCCAACTGTTCTGTGTGAAGAGTGAGCAGCTGGTAGGACAGTCAGCGTCTGACACTGTGTCTCTGGGTCTTCATGGGTTCATAACACCATGACATGTGCTTTCATGGATAGAGAAATCAGCAGTGCGAAATACAAAGTGTGATTTATTGCAATTGGTTCTATATTGTCTCATGTCTGCCCACAATGCACTGCTCCCTGTGTGTCTCTCTGCAGCTGTGCACTCAGGGGGAATGCAGCCAGGTGATTGGTCCGTTAACGGAGGGCCAGAGGAGGAATGTGGCTGTGGTCAACTCCCTGTACCGTCTGCAGCAGGCTGTCAACAAGGTCAGAATCCTGCCGTCTACTCAACAATAAACAGAGGCTAGCAAAAGTATCCAACCCCCCCAACATGTGTTGGATTTGTCTGAATCACAAATGATCAAGTCAGGTCATTAAGGACGAGAGTTTTTGCTGAGTTATTAAGCTATTGAGTCATTAAGAAAATGTAGTTCACTTTTATTTAGAAGTGTGTCAGTTGACCTGGATCCTAACTGGTACATTGTTGCTTCTTTAGGATGGTCTACAGGTGTAACGGTGCCACACACAACAGCACACACTGCTCTCTGACTGCATGTGATTGGTTTCATACCTAAAGACATGTTGCATAACCACAGAAACACAGATACCCGACATAGGGTTAAGGACAGTGGGATCACAGGAGGAGCAGGGGGTGGGATCAGCCTCTAGCATTCAACATGTTTGGTGACCAGACACTGCAGCCCGCCGGATTACTACAAACACATTACTCCAGCATTAAATGTTTATCCTCGAGCCTTTAAAATGTTACTGTGCGAAAAATAGAACAAATGTATTGAGGATTTAGGAGGGATACATATATTGCAGGACATTTCTGTACTATTGAGCATTAACCACACCTTTCTCTGTTGAATAACTGCACCCCTATCACTGATTCCATAAAGCGCTTCCTTAGTTCCTTCTGTTCTTCTGCAAAGGTCCTCAAACAGATTGAGCATGGTTTGTGTGAGAGCAGCATGTCTCCTATTCGAAACATGTGAATGCTGCAGTGTAAGGTTTGGAGCAGCCGTCCTCCCTGGATTCTCACGTGTCATCAGAAGCCTTTTGGAGTCAGCAGATGATGCTCCAGTGTGCCCGCTCCTTTCCTCACTTAACATCTTCTGTGCTTTTAAAATATACAACAACATGTAGAATTACAAAGAAGACGCACAACTCAATCAATCAAAGCTTATTTATACAGCCCAATATCACAAATGTTACATTTGTCTCAGTGGACTTCACAGTTTGTACAGAATATCAGTATGACAATACGACAC